GCCAGAAACTCCAATTGAACCTTTTGAACCCCTCCTTCCGAGCCAATGTTGAACACCTTGGGGCCACTTTCTTCACCCCCAAACCACATATTTGTGTTGTACACACATGGGAGGATCCTAATATCATATGGCCGGCCACTATTTCCTTTTGAACCTTTTGAACCCCTCCTAAAAATGGCTTGTTCTCTCTCCTGTTTTAGAGTTTCCAAATTCGAACCACAGGGTTGTGATGAGGGGACCTGGGAGGCCATCTTTTTGTGGTGGCCGGCCACTAACTCAACTTGACCTTTTTGATCCCTAGCCAGCCGGCTAGGGGGGGTGGCCGGCCGGCCACCTGCAGCTCCAAAAGGTGGCCGGCCATGTTCCTTGCAATACACACTTTACAGCGGTATAGCTGTATCCCCAGAAAATATCTCAATCCGGGGGATATTTTTTGGGGAAAAACTTGCCTCCTTTTCCCTCACCTTTTCCCCACCTTTACTCCCTCTCTTTGTTCCATATAACCAGGGGCCAGCATTTGTATTGGAGGTTACAAAAAAATCCATTAAGCCTCTTGCATTAGATCCCCTCTCCTTCTCTCATTTCTACCCTAAAACACCCAAGTTTCATCCCCTTTTCTTCACTACCACCTAACACCATCACCACCACTCCATTTCCAGCAGCAAGGAGGGCTTCTCAGAGGCTAAAGGTGCTGCAACTTGGTCCAAGAAGCAACCAAAGATTGGTCTACAAGGGTGAGTTGCCATTTCCTTCTTTTTAAGCCTATTTTTGCAACATTCCTTAGCCATATATGCTTGCTGTTTTGAGCTCCGGCCCTAACTGAAAGTGGCCTTCTTTTGAGCTCTTTTTCACTTTTGCTTAAGGGCTCAACCTTTTTTGAGCCCCCCATCTTGCACTTGCTTCAAAATCTTCATTGAATGCTATTTTCTTGCATGCTTTGGAAGCCCATTATGCTTCCATTTTTGGGCGGTTTACAGAACTAAAAATAGGCTTATTTTGAGCCCCTCTTCAACATTGAAGAAGGGCTCAACACTGTTTGGGACCTCCATGCTATACTTGCCTTTATATTCTCTCTTGGTCCCCTTTTCTTGCATGTTTTGGCAGCCTATTATGCTTCGGTTTTTGGTCATTTTACAGCACTGAAAATAGTCTTATTTTGGTCCATTCTTCATGTTTCATTAAGGGTCTTTGGCTGTTTGATGAATATTTTGTATACTTTGTGTTATAGCCACTTTTGAGCCTCATTTTGCATTGCATTTCTAGCATGTTTGTATACTGATTTTGGGGCTGCCATTAACTGTAAATGTGTATATTTTTGGTCCCTCTTCAATGTTGTAGAAGGGAATTTTTCAGTTTGGGCTGTGCATATACCACTTGCCTCTTTGGCCACCTTTTGGCCCATTTTCTTGCATAGGAGCTTAGCCTTATCTATGCTTATTTTGGGCCCCTCTTCAATGTTGTTGAAGGGCCCTAACCTGTTCGAGGTCAGCAGCTGTGAGTTGCTTCATAACCTCATATTTAGGGCCATTTTTGCATGCCATTGTTGCCCTATCTTTGCTGGCTGTTTGGCCATGATTTGTATTAGTAAAATGCTTATTTTGAGGCTGCCTTGCTTCTGTCTTTTCATCTCATGTACCAATTATGCATGCTTTGTATAGCTGTAGTTCATTCTATGCGCCTAATTTGCATTTCGGGAGAGATTCCATGAATCGGGTGTGTTTTCGCCTCATTTCGGGGCTGTTTTCCCCCATATTTTAGTGCTAAAATTACATTGGCATGTTTGCATATCATTTTCCATACTATTGCATTGCATATGCCATTGCCTCGATTTGCGTGCCCGTGTGCACGCGTTTCGAGGCATTTCATTTTCATCCATCGGCCTCTTATGTGAGTGTAGCTGAGGCTCTCTCATGTTAGTGTAAGTCCATGATGGCATTCTATATGCCATTTTAGCCTTTTTGCATTGCATATGCCATTGCCTCGATTTGCACGCCCGTGTGCACGCGTTTCGAGGCACTTCATTTTCATCCATCGGCCTCTTATGTGAGTGTAGCTGAGGCTCTCTCATGTTAGTGTAAGTCCATGTTGCATTCTATATGCTATTTTAGCCATATTGCATTGCATATGCCATTGCCTCAGTTTGCGTGCCCGTGTGCGCGTATTTCGAATCACTTCATTTTCATCTATCGGCCTCTTATAGGAGTGTGGCTGAGGCTCTCTCATGTTAGTATAAGTCCATGTTACATGCTATATGCCATTTTTGCCATATTGCATTGCATATGCCATTGCCTCGGAGCTGCACTCTCCGGGAGCTCGTCGAAGAGAAGAGAACGGGCACGACCACGAACTACGAGTCACTCACGACGAAATATGAGGAGAGCTGCACTCGCCGGGGAGCTCGTCGGAGAAGAGAGAGGCACAACAACGAATAGAGAGAGAGATAAAGAGAAGAAAAGGAAGAATAGAGAGAGAGAGAGTCTGAAATGAATGTTTGAAAATGAATTTCGAATTTTGAAATCAATAGAGAAGAGAGAGAATTTGGCGAATTTAGCTCCGGTCTTTCCAAGTCAGTGCCGCATCATTAGTGGTCTGTTAGTGATGTTGAATTAGTGATCCGGAAACATTTTGTTAAGAGATTCATTTGGGATGATGCATAAAATAAATGATTTATTTTTTATTTTTTTTAAAAAGATGTTGTAGAAAAAGTAGAGAGATGATGTGATGGAAAAAAAATAAAAGATAAAAAAAGATGGATTATTTTAGGGTGCCAAACTTGCCATAGAATAATGCTAGGATACTTATAAATTTAGCTTACAATTTCACTAACACACTTCACAAGTTAGATGTAGGTCTTATATCAAGTAAAGATTGATCTAATTAAAACTTGTGAGTCTTTGTGAGTGTGTTAGTAAGATTGTAAGTATTCCTAGTATTACTCTTATTTAATCAAATGAAAAGAGTAAAGAAGAGAGAGAGAGAGAGCGCGAATAAAAGCGAGAGAGTCATTCGAGGGGTGTTGGAGGGATATTCTGATCATTTTGTGCGAACTTTGTACCTGTGGACATAATAAATTTATATATATTTAATTATGTGTATTAAGTAGTATATCAATACTAAGTACTGTTTGGGTTAAAGTAAAAAAGTTTGTTTTTTTAACATACATATGTTTATTTGGGTTACATTTATCAACATCTTATCTTTATTTTTCTAATTACTTTCTCTAATTTTTTCTACACCATTTTTTATATATAAAGAGTTTAAAAAGTACTTTTATTTAGAACAACCCAAACCATCCCTTAATTATGATATTATATTTAACTCTACTCATTATATAAAACCTAAATTACAAATACGTTCCCTGAGATTTGATTAAAATCGAATTGCCTCCTGTAGTTTTGTAGACGCTCCCCGGAACGCACCCGGGAGGAAACGGAGCTCCCGTTCTGTTCATATTGGGGTCCACTACAGCTTCAGGACTCTCAAAATTGTCACGGTTCTAAATCTGAACCAAGGAGTCCCAAATCCGGCAAATCGTTTTGAGAAACAGATTTTGAAAAGAAGTGCCAAACATGGACTGCTTGCTAGATACAGAGTCGCCACCTAAATGTTTTTTAATGGGAAATTTAGGAAACCCTGACTCTGGGTGGCCAAAAGGCCGCGTGTCCGTCCATCACCAAAGTTGCCTCGGCTCGGGAACTTGGGTACGATTTGGGGCAAAGGTCACTTCGTTGAGCACCCCCTGCTCGCACCGATCAAGATCGGGCCTCTACTAACCATGATATCTTATTTTTGAAAACAATTGTGTGTTCTTATTCCGGTTAATTAGCCTAGGTTACTTATTGTGATGCGCACAACATACAAGTATAGACTGGATCGCCTGAATTGGAACAAAACATTTCATGTTTGCTTTTTTGAAAATGGTTTGCTACCCGCAGGTAGGCTTAAAAATGCAGATTTTGCCACCCTTAGGTGGGCTTAGGAAAAGATTGTTTTTGCCACTCTATCTAGTGGGCTTAAAACAAACATTTTTGATGAAATGTCCAAATCCCTAAATAACTAACCTTCATTACCACGGCATTCACAAGGCAGTTATATCAAAATAAGAATTTAGCCTCATGGTAAGCATGCTATCATGGCATTTCCACTCACACGCATTTGCAAGGATGGCTTTCATAAAGTGCATTAAAGCTCACCGGCGGCGTTTACTCCAAGCCAAAAAAAAGAGGACTAAACATTTTTAGAAAAAAATTTCCATTTGGGGCGGCCATTTTTTTTTGAATTCCCTAAAAAGTTTTTATTATTTTAAACAAAATTCTCCTTTAACCTAAAACACCCCGTACCAACCC